TTAGGACACAAGGGAAAACTTGGAAGACCATGAGAATAATTTGGGTGTCCAAACATAGGTGCCTAGTAGCATTGTAGACAGTGTAAGATTTCCCACCTGAATCATAGATGCTGCTCCAGAAGGAAGTCTCCAGGTCCCACACAGTAACTACCAGCCCTGTGAATGTACTTCTTATACCCCAGATGGCTAAAATGACATTAGACACCTATCTGTAGGCATTCAATCATCCCCTATATGCCCCTTCCTCACAAATCTGTACTGCAAAGTTCACAGTTCAGAAACTAACAAGCTACTTAAGACTTAGAGTAGTTGCTTTTCTTTTCTCACAAGTCAGATTTTTTTTGTTTAAATATTAGACAAATTATGCAAATTCATGAGAAAGATTAACATACTTCTTTGTATGTTAGAAATGTTGCTAATTATACCTAGGGTAAGGAAAGCTAATAAATGAAGCATTCATGTTCTATGTACAAAAGTTTTAAATAACTGAAAAACATTATTTACCTTCTTTTGTCTCATCCCCCCTTTTGCTCTTCTTTTTTTTTTTTTTTTTTTGGTAAACAAAATAGAAAGAACTGGGAAGATTTTTACCGTGAAAACTAATGCACCTGACTATTTGAAACTTCTTATCTAAAAATAGCTGTTACTCTGGGGTGGTGGTGGGAGGCTTGATCAGTGCAGGGAATTTTGTATTTTCTAACTGGATATACTTAACTAATGCTTAACAGTAGGCACTCATGGGAAGAATATTTTTATCCAAAACCAACTAATCTGAACATTCTTATACGGGCTTTTTTCTTAAACAGAAACTATATACAGTGCCTAATCTGAGAACTGAATTTCATTTTTCTGCAGAACACCTGCATATAAGAAATAGGGGAAAACTGGCTTCTAATTTAAAAAAATACACTCCTAAAATGGTTGTCACTGATTAAAGACACTGAAGATACTAAATTACTTTTTTAATTAGGAAGGTAACATTTTATATTTTAATATATCCACTTATGCCTGAAAATTTCCTTCCTTCCATCTCATCAAGTAATATAAATCAGCCTTCTCTTTTATAAGACACAATGTCCAAACAGGAGCTGCAATCACCTGAAATCAACAGGTAAAAAAAGCTACTAACAGAAACAAAAATAATACACCAAACATTTTAACAACTGGAATAAAATTAGACAAAAGAAAAATTACCAGAGATCCAGTCAAAAAACAACAAAATGCATAAATTCCAACATGAACAAAAGCTCAAAGTTTAGAGATCCAAGGCTATTTTGGAAGTGTAGATGTACTGTTTAGAACTAATTCTCAAACAGAAAGAAGGTGAAATTTGTACTCCTTAATTAAGTGCATTCTTTCATGACTTAAACAAAATGAACTACAATTGTTTCTTGACTGGCAGTTTGTTCATGTATTAATACACCAGCATTTCAGGAAAGCTGCTGTGGCTGTGAGGTTCTCATGCCCTCTGATGCACTGTCTGGGCTGCACTCTTAAAAATCGAAGCCAGTCACGGAATTACTGAAGGACCAATGACCAAAATTACCCTTCCTTCACCAAATCCACAATCAAAGGCACAAGGGAAGAAAGAAGCAGATCTTTTAGATTATCACCTTCTTACCCAATGATAAGCACAGAAACACTCCCCAGCAGTCATACACAAAAAGCAGCAGCAGAAGCACCTCCTCTCTTCCTGAGCTTGTAACTAACTCATCTCCCTCTCTAGTCCCCAAAATGACCTAATTCCAGAGTCCTTTAAAAACAATGCATTCCAATCCTCCGCTGAGACTGGGCAAGCAACTATGAATAGAAGAGTAAGAGTATATGCTAAGATACTTTCCCATCAGAAACTAACAGATGCACAGGAGAGAGCAAGTATGTCTCCAACTCCAACAGTTTCTTGTATCCACGATTCTTCCCCTGCTTAAAACCCACATGCCCAGGAAGGCAGGCACCACATCAACTGGAGTTCAAAACTAAACACAAAACTCAGGTCTCAGCTAATGTAACTAACCAATGTACAAAGCTGCTTTGCAATTTTCCAGATAAAATGTCATGAGCTCTCCCTGAACTAGTGATATCAAGCATACCTCATAGGAAGAGAAAGCAGTCATCTTCTAGAGGATTGTTAAAATAGCCAGTATAACCTTGATCTGATCAAGAAAGTTCAGTTCTACTCCTTAAGTGAACTTTATCTTCCATTGCACAGAATAATTTTCCAGCTAAAGTACCAAGAAGACGGCAAAGTAGAATTAGGAATGTCAAGTTAAGAATTTGCAGCTTTAAACTGCCTCAGATTCAGGATACCTATCCAGCACATTGAAAAATTAATTCCTCTAGTCAGCAATTCTGAGGGCTTAGTATCAGTTCAACTTGCACTTTCACTAGAATCAATATAAAATATTTTCTATACTTCTAAGCCACTGTATGCTGTCCTTGCATGTATTTTAAGGTCCAGAAGAAATATTTGAACAATTTGAAAGAAGGGGCATATTTTCAGTACTCTGCATAACTCACTACTTAATAAGTATTTGTTAAGAAGGGAGATGAGAGAGAAATCCACCAACCTGCTGACAAAAAGATGTAACACCATGCAATTGTGCCAGTTAGGATTGTTTATTGACACCATAGTTGAACATTCATTAGTCAGTCCTGACTGACTAATGGCTATTTTAAACAATCCTCTAGAAGATGACAATGGTGACATTGATGTGATCATATGATGTGGCTGTATGTTCTTATGACTTTCATATGTTGCTATGAGCCATCTGTGGCAAGTTATAGCACTATAACTTCGTCAAAAACTACCCTTTTTTGTTTCAACATAATTGTTTATATGCCCTTGACTCTGGAAAGAATGTTCATTGTTGAGCCTCAAGACACACAAACCAGAGCTGAGCTGTCTTCAAATTAGCATTCTCCACATCATCAATGGATATCTGGGTAGTGAAGAACTAAGAATGGTCAGTCTCATCTCACACCCTTTTGATGTACGCAGTTAAATGACATTCAGCTTACTCCCTGGTTTTCAAAGGTTTGGGTACACAACAACCAACTAAAGATTGCCTCCTTATGACAACAAACTCTGCCTTCTTTGGAACCTGCAATTTCCACGTATGTTGCAGCTGTACTTTCTGAATTAGTGTTGATTAGCTTGCTGCAATACGGTGGACCTTATACCTACTGCATAAATCAAAAGAAAGTGCATTATATTTAAATACAAATGTTCCCTTAGCAAACAGGAAGTATTATGCTGGGGGCTATAGCTGTCCTGCACTACGGCCAAAAAAATAACAATTGCAAACTATGCACAAAAGAAAGACATCACCAGAAAGAAGTTAGGTTGCATTTATAATCTGTAAAGCCTCACAATTTCCTTGCATAGCAGAGGTTACTATCACTGCTATCAAGATTTTGGAAGGACACAATATGCAACCAGATGGACCTTAAGTCTTACCAATAGGTCTGTTTCTCAGAAGCTGTTTTTTGTATCAGTTGGTTATCATACAGATTTACAGGTTAAACATTAGTGTGCCTAGAAATAGCTCCACTTAGCCCTACAGGGCTATCATCAGGCAGCCTCTGATGAGGCCTTAAAAAAAAAAAAAAAAAGCAGCAAATATCCCTATCCACGTTTCAAGACAGAAGAACTCAGAAGCACAAAGTACCTTGTTCAAGAAAACCCACCAGGTAGAACTGACAACAGACTCCAGGAATCACAAGCCCCCTGTCTTTGATACCTTCAAGTACTGCTCTATCCTGCTCTATACTGCAAAAATAATGGCCATGGTTTGAGGTTCATGAATTTGTAACTCTTAATGGTACAAAGGCAAAACATTTCAGATCCTATCAAAGCTTTGGACATGTACAGCTTTTTAGTATTATTTAAATTATTGTGATTTGGTAAATGCAAGAGTTGAAATATGACAAGTTTCTCTACTAAGTTCTAGGTCACTCTCCCCTCTGGTCTCATCAAACCCTTAACAAGTATAAAGTTGCTCTTTGGTGCTTTCTGTTGCCATACACACTCAAAGAACTGCTTACTGAAAGGCTAAATGTTTACTTGATTATATAGCTCAAAGTGTACATCTGCCAGATTGCCATACCTGGCCATGTTCTTAGTCACAATTCCCTACTCATGTTGACAATCATCATGTGCTAGCGCACATTCTAGCCCACGCTGAGACAAGCTACATTTGTACCTTCTTATTTACGAATGCTCCAGTGCGCTTTATCTGTCTACCACTTTCCCCAAATTTCCCGAGGTCATAAGGAACAACAAAAGTAGTCTCAGACTTCTACATGACAGGAAGACACCCTCCCCCCCCCCAATCCAAAACGACACAGGGATAGAAATCAGTCCCCTGTGATACCAGGATGCATAGCAGAAAAGATATGCAGCAGGTTATTTCCCAACATTAAGCCACTCAGAGTATGCCCTTCCTGGTATTTCACTCTACAGCAGCCAACCTGTAGATTATTTATCACTTAAGTTTCTTGCACTTTCATCTCTTACAAAAATTTTGCTTAGAACATAATGCAATAATCCAGTTATGGTTACCAAAACTTTAAAAAAAAAAATTATTACCTGTTAAAAAAAAAAGCCAAAAACCAAAAAACACACTTCCCAGAGATCAAGCCACATATCAATATAATTTCGAGTTTATGTTGGCAATGACATCTTTTAGCATATCAATGATGGCTGTTAGAAAACTAAAAAAGGTTCAGCACAGGCAACCATGAAAAAATCCAGCATGCAAAACCTCTGACAAAACTATGTGCAGAACACTTCCAATTGACCCAAAGTCGAGATTTACATCACAGCTTGCTGCTGTAGTTTTGCAAACACATGGTCAAGTGACAATATCACAATGGGCACACTAAGCTTTTCCTGTTAGGCTCAGTATTAAGACTTAGCTCATTTCTAAGCACTTGCTTTGAAGGAAAATGCATGCTAGAAAACATCACAGCTCTTTTATGAAAGATATTTCCATACTTACTGGTGCTACTATTTTGCCCGTCTGTCCAACTTGCATGTCATTAGGAACAAAGCCAGCATCAACAGCTGCACGGGAAGCTCCAACTAGTTGAAAGAAAATATTTCCAGTGTTTTCTTTTAAAATATTAGTGAGCCAAATTTCTATCACCATAAAAGCACATGTATTTCACTGAAGAGTCCCACACTCTAAGGGCACATATTTAGAAACTTCCCTCTTAAAAGCTGTTATAGTAATCCCTCTCTATACCACTGGCTGAAACTTCCAAATACTAAGTGCTAATGCACTTCATAAGCAACAGGAAATCCTTACTCCCAGTACCAAAGGGCCATATATTTGAAACCAAGGATTTTGGTCTGGCATATTTCCATTATTTTCTCTTGTTGCTTTGTCAAAAGAGGATTTTCCCATAAATGCCTTCCCATAATGATCCTCCCAAGTTTAAACAGAACACATGTGCCATCTTATATCGCTGTGGAGCTAAAAAGTCAGGCATACGGAAGAAAAATATCAAAGTAAACTTGACAATGCCACATGGACATTTAGTTAGCGAAGCCACCAATTTAAAAACAAAGCCGTTCATGTAGAACTATAAATTTATTATTACATGTGAAATCTAAAACTAATGTAGTTAAAATATTAATGCAAACAGTTCGTCCTCCTCTCCCAACCTTTTCTTAAAATATTTTACTGAAACGCTGTACACAGTCAGTTTTCTCCTTTTAATACAAAGCATAGCAAAAAGACAGAGCCACTCAAACTACAAGAAGTGTGAAAGGGATTCTGTAAAGGAGTAGTATATAAGGATGAATGAAGAAAATATCAGCACGTCAAAGTGAGCTAAGACCATTTCTTAATTTATACAACTTCACTTTTTGTTTGTGAGCTTGTGATCTGGATATTTGAGGAGGACAGGGAATATTACAGTTTAGTATTTTGCTTCAGACACAGGCATTCAAATACACAGTTGACCACAAGGACAAGACAAAACTGTATCTACGACTAAACTAACAGGATTTTAAGAATTTATTTGAGAGAGAGATGAAAATTAAAAACAATGTTCATCTTAAGTCTTTTATGTAACCTTTTAAAAATATAATAACCAGGGTTAAAAAAAAAGGAAGAAAATAAGTTTACCTGCAGCATGCAATTGATCCGCAAGATCATATAACAACTTAAAATTCTCACCGCTCTTCAAGCCTCTCCCTTAAAAGAACAAAAAAAGATAAAGAAAGAACATAATATGCTTTAAGATTTTTTTTTTTATTGCCTACATAAACTTTCTGTATGAGTATTTGAGTTTGCAAAGGCACAAATATGTGCTTGCATAGGGTATTTTTGGATATATTACTAAATAGTATTTAATATTTGGAGATTTAGCTTTTGTCTTGGTGATTAATATTATTATTTCATATGTATAAACCAACACCACTCTGTCTAGTTTACTTCCTGCACACAGCATCATCAAGATCATTCTCCTAAATCAGGGAAACAGGATTTTTTTACTAATTTGTGCTCCCTCTGCTGGCTTCAGGTACAAAACTCTGTAGTGGGATAACTACAGAATAATTTTTTAGCTGTAGGCATACAGGAAGAGTCACAGTCCATCACTTTATACCTGAAGAGCAGAATACAAACATAATGATTTTTAGAACCATTAAAGCCATTACATAATAATGTTTGGACTGCCTGTAACGATTAGCAATAATTTTAAACATGACAGATTTGGACCTAAAAGCACATCATATCGCTATAATTTTAAAGGGGCTCACCAGATACAACAATGTTCTTAAAAAGCCTACTAGCATATGTTAAAACATGTTTTGCCTCTTCACGAAAAATACATGTTGGGTGCATTCCCACTGGCCTGCTATGCTGTATTTCAGAACTACATCATAATTTTTTTTTTTTTTTTAGTGTATCACATTATAGTGTTCTGCTACAGGTATTATTTAATCAGGATGTACCATTACTTAATTGCACATAACACAGTTTTAATATTATTGACTTACCACCCGATACAACCACTTTTGCACTAGTAAGCTCTGGTCGATCGCTTTTTGTCAACTTCTGCTCAATCCATTCAGAGATACCAACAGGCGGCGGAGGGGTTACTGCATTCATCAGATGAAGAAAAACATTCACAAGAAAAAGGATAAAGCGTGTATTTTCAACTGTTTAAATTTGAGCTTAAACTTAATGCAAAAGTTAGTTCTATAACCAATTCTACCACGAGCTTTTAACTACTATCAGTAATTGCTCTGTGGCTGAGTTACAAGCCTCTTTCATTAGTTGTGTTTAAGTAACCTATAGTACAAGCTGCACTAAAATGAAGGTCTATTGTATAAAGTAATACTATGCTGTGTTGATATCAATGTAAGTGTGGCTCTTAAGACAGGCAAACAAGCCAATTAAGTAGCGCAATGACAGTGCAATATGCTAATCTTAAGTATCAAGTAGCATTTGTTTCCTAACATCCCCAGACATTAGGAAATACAGGATGGTTCAGGGGCAGGTACTAAGCCACCCAGAAAAGTATGAGAACTGGGACACACACGCAGCACGTTACTAATGATTGCCTCTGCTGGATTTACAGCACAGTCATGAAAAGGCCCACAGCAAAAAACCACAGAGGCGATGAAACGCTGGAACATGTTGCCCAGAGTGGTTGTGAAGTCTCCATCTGTGAAGATACTCAACGCCTGATTGGACACAAACCTGGGCAACCTGCTCCAGTGGGCTGGACTACATCATCTCAAGAGGTCCCTTCCAACCTCAACTATTTTGTGATTCTGTGACTGGATTTCTCTATTATCAAAGCTACACTGGCTTCATTAAAATAATAGTTTAACTGATTTAGTTAAAACTGATCTAAAACTACAAGTGGGTGTTCTCAAATCAATCTAAACTGCTACTAATTTAGCTAGACACTGTAATGACCTATCTCAATTAAAATACAACTGATGAAACCAAAACTGTGGATAGCCAGCCACTTTTATTTTTGCTCAATCTTGCTTTGAAAACCCATCTGGCTATTTGAACAGCTGTAACTTTAAATACGGAAATGTTTCAAGACTGTGGTGGCAGAGGTTTAAGCAGTAAGTGAAATAGGCACAGATTTCAGCACAGGTAATCTCCATTTCTGGTCAAAGAAAAAGTAGCAAGTGAGCATATAATCCATATCTTCCCTTCCCATCACTAAAAAATGCAAGTTCCCACGTTACAAGCATAAAGCTCAGATTATGAAAACCAGTTTGCTTTGACAAACACTTCTGCAAAACATCACCGTGCAGTGAGCAAAACTAACTCTACTACATGAAATACCGGAACAAACACTCACACTTTTCTAAACTGGCACTACCACCACTTGTTGGTGCAGCCTCAAAAGAAGTTCCTCGTACAGTAAATACTTTAATCGCTTCATCACATTGCACAGTGCAAAGAATATTTCCTAAAAAAAATGGTCACATTACATTTTAAAGAAGATAATATCAGACATACTATGCTTTTTAAAAAAACAAATAAAATTAATATCAGAAACACATTAGCAGTTCTACCAGAATAGGCAACATTCAGAAAGTTACTTCCCAAAAACTGCAGTTTTAGATGATGACTAAAGCTTGAAACCTAGGCACTTAAGAAATGTAGATTACAAATATTTTAATTTACTTTTTAGCTCCAGGTTTCTGAAGTATGATAACAAATCCTCTATTTTTAAAGGATACAGAGCATTCAAATAATTTCTTATGAATAAGCTCTTAAATTTCAGAAGGAGGAAAAAAACCCCCAACTTTGAAAGTTTCATTCTTAAAGAGTGTCTATAATTCAAAGTAGATCTTTTATCCGGTTGCATGAATTCATCAGAAGACAACGAGGCCTGCCCCAAGTATCTGTGGGATTGTATTTCTCTCAGTAATATATTATATAAGGTATTTACTCGACACTGGAGGCTGCAGGGAACACTAAAAGAGAAGAATGCTGTAATACCAGCTATTCATAAACAAAGTCATCTTGAAACTGTGAATTACTGGGAAGCAACTTAAAAGTGCAACACAAAACCACGTTCTGGTAATCTAACTTGAAATGTAATACCATGTTGGTACACATGGTACAATCTTGTACAGTAAAATTAAGAAACACAAACTAATGAGCTCATATCTAAATTAAAATGCAGTGTCAGACAAGCATTAGAGAAACAAGACTGAAAAAAGAATTGCAAATTAAGATAATTAAATATTTATTTATAATTAGTTCAATGTCTTCATAATTAGGAAAAATAACCCTGTGGTATCTTAAATCAGAACTAATGCTAGTCATATTAAATAAAGCTGGACAATTAACTTAATGTCTTACGTTTTACTAAATCTGATCAGAAGAACATTAACAAAGAAATGCAGTATGTATAAAGGAGATTACCAAATTCTATTTGTTAAAGTGATAGACCTGGTTTCTAACTGCTAGTACCAAAGTTGTTGGGATTACTTGCTTTCTCATACATGGAGCATCACGTCCATCCCCAGGTTTCATTTTTATGAACCACAGCAATTCAGATTGTAAAGTGAAAATGCCTATCATATTCCAAGGTTCTAACAACAGGATTACATAAAAAAGTTATCAGTATTGGGTTCTTTATTGCACAAATACCACATACCTTTTGTGATTACCCACCTGCATAGATAGTTCTCACAAAAGTGTCTGGTGACTGAATTTCAATAATGTCAGAAACAGGGGCAACATCAAGTTTGCCAGCCACTCTGGGAATAAGATTCTAGCAGTTAAAGATGAAAAGTTAGCACAGTAAATGCTAAGTAAAATGCACACGGTCAGTAAAAGAATGCCTGCTGTCCTGATTTTAACTTCATATAATGCTGTGCGTAGGTAAAAAGGCACATACAACTGTAAGGTTTTTGTAGGGCTACTCATGTAGCTTTAGCAGCCAAATAAAATCCCATTACTGTAATAACATTAGACATTTTATGAGACTTACCCTAAGTAAACCCTGAATTCAGTATCTGTGAGAGACTGAAAGAGTTAATGTCTCAAACATTGCGGCGGGGTAAGTTCTGCTTAAAGACAAACCCTGCAGAGCAAGGAACCCAGGTGAAAAGCCCATCAGCTCAGACATCAGCAACAGGAGGGGGAGGGCATGCTGGAGGGTGCGCAGGTCCCTATTCTGATAAACTGTTGGGATACAAAGATCAAACAATGGCCGCATCTGCAGGAAAGAAGTTACTCCACAAACAACCCCCAAGCCCAAAGGCTCACAAACTGCTTCCTAGCCTGACACTTTGGGTGCCCGCCCGAGAGAGGGGCAAGGATGATAAAAGGACACAAACTGAAGGCCCAGGTGCACAAGCCCACCGGGACTGGACCCCTCGGCTAACTGGACCAACGCTGGACCCAGGACCAGTGAAATCTTTCTCTCTTCCTTTTTCTCTCTCTGTCTTCTTCTCTCTTTCCTTTTCCCTTTCCACAATCCCTAGACCTCAACAGTTTCAAGATATAAACCGTTGACCAAGTCTGAGACTAAGAGTGGATCCAGCCGCCCCTGGGCCCTTCTCTGAGGAGGAGTCTGGAAAGCAAGGGGGTCTGCTCTGAACCTCGTGACTCAACGGGAGGGATCTCCTTATTCCCTGAATTGATGTATATGGTTACCCTGGGTTACACGGTTTACAGAAGTAGTCTTATGCCAGTTCCTGTTGTGAGAAACCCCGCCACCTACTACCACGCCTCGCCAGTTCAGTTTGCTTCTGTCATGAATAAAGTCTTTAACTGATCGTTTGGCATCATTTCACCTTAATTTAGCCCGAGGGAATTTCGAATTAAACATGACTCCCTGGTATGTCCAGTCTAGGTCGTGACAATATATTAAATTAGGAGGCTTATTTGCTTCAACAGTTTAAAACTCAATATAGATGCAATTTACTCAGGAAATTGACAATTATGGATTGCTGAGCTCTTAGCACTTCAAGGAAAACAAAAGCACTTTTGGAAGCTAGATACCAGAGACAATAGGAACACCTCTCGCACCTTCTCCTCAAAAACAAAAAAATTATTATTTTAAAAATTAATATTAAAATATATATTCTCCTGCTCTGAAATTGACTCTAGAAAATAACTTAGCACCCTTAGGAATGGGAAGGAGGCTAAAAAGAGCAACATAAATCATGAAGAAATTAATGATAGCAAGAGCTTTGCTTGTTTTTTGTCCCCCTCCTAAGCTGGTACAACACAAAGGGCCCAGTTCGTAAATCTTTACTCACATTAAGCGCTCAAAAATGGAAGTGTAAGCTTTAAAGCAAAAGCTATTAACCTTTACTAAGACACTGCAGATAAAAAAAAAAAAAAGAGAAAAATAAAATAAATAAACCCTAAGACTTAAGGTATGTAAAGATTTCTCCTAGCAAAATTACAAGTATACAGATTGATATTGATTGGAAGTAAAAGTAGTCAGATGGAAGGCTGATGTCATTATTCATCCCACATCAGCAAGATTTCTGAAGTATCCTTTTTCTCTCATTTAGCTGCACCACAATGTTGACCAGATTGTTAGTACTGAGGCTCTCCGCATACTTAAACACACACTCCTTAAAAAACAAGTTTTGAAAAATTGTATTTTCATTAAAAAACATCTTGGCTAGAACTTGGGTCTGTGTTATTTATATATATTCAGACATTTCAATTTACAGTACTTACCATCATAGATGCCATTTCCCCCCTCCAAAAAAATTTGCTTCCAACAGGTCTGCACACTTTCAACATGCAAATCATACATTTTTCATCTCAATTTACTGTACTTTTCCTTACAATTTTTGTAATACTTTCAGATCACTTAATCTATTTTGTGTTATTGTACATTTTGCCTTGTGTACGTAGAACTAGCTGGTTACCACTAAATATTTCTTCTACACTGTTCCTTTGTCCAAGTCAGCCCATAATAAAACTCAGACATGAATCGGTGTTTCTAACTAATGACCTCTTAAGCAAACTACTGTAACATTTTTTTGAAAACTCAAAACTGTCCATGGCTGACCTCTCTCAGGCATCTGATTCATGTTTTTACATACAACAGTGTCTCTGTCTCTTTTCTACGAGAAATTTTGATGCACTTCGATCTACTTACCTTCCCAAAGGCAGATGCTCCAGCGCAAATGTGGGTGTAATTGAATTTTTTATGAGTTTCCAAAATCAAGGGAGTCAACTCCTCTGAGGATAAAAAAATATTGCCCCAAATTTACAACTATCTTATTTTCAATCACAAATATAAATACCATTTCTTTTGTCAATAGGTAAGAACAACTCTCACCTGCTAGAAATCCCTTGTATACATCATGCTGAGCCACTAGAACTTTTGCAACACCCTGCACTTTGCTGAGTTCTTGTGCTACCTATGATTACAAATAAATTATTATTAGTTTGTATGGTAACAGGCACCACAAACAAATAACAAGAGAGAGTCTCTGCTGCAAACAGCTTACAACCTATACATTAGTTACAACTGGAACACAAAAGTATGTGAATTTCAAAATCGGAACAAACCTGATGGAACAAAATGCAGATCTTCTGACTCACAGCCTAGTGCCTTATAGGATAATGAGAACTGATTTTGTGAATAAAAAACTACAAATCAAACCAAACATAAGAAAGCTTGCCTCCTGCATGCAGGATTACGCAACGATCTTATGATGTATTACAACAGCGGGTAACAATCATGCTTGAGGATTACTGCTCAGTATTCTGATACAATCACCAAGAAACCCACCCTACTTCTTCTAAAGGAGCAGTCCTTTGTCTGCAGCTGACTTTTGCCTACTGGTGTAATGTGTATTTTAAATTCTGTATTTATGCATTTTTTCCTTTAAATTTGCAGAAGTAAAGTTTAAATGATAAAAGGGTTGTTGCAGATCAGAGAGAAGAGGACTGACAGCAGTGTCTGGAGACCACATGCATCGTCCCAGAACAAGCATAGTTTTACTGAGTTTGCCAAGTATCGGTTAACCCTCAAAAATTAACAAGAGGAAATAAAAAAAAAAGCTCTTTTGTCCTATCAATACAGATTCTTACAAAGAAACTTAAAAACTCCAAACCTTCATTTTTTATAAAGTACTTTTTCCCAGCATGACATAAATTGCCAAATAGACACCATATACTCAGTATTAAAAAAACCAGACAAACAAACCATTTCCAATCATTTTTCTACTATGCAAGTGCCAAAGAATAATGAAACTCACAGACAGACAGACGAGGCAAATTCTCCCCCCCCCCTTTTCTTGATCCGGATAAATACTTGCTTCCAGGTCTCCACCCTGAACACCTGGGGCTCAGTTTAGAATAGCCACAGAGGTTTCTCCACCTATTTGTGAATTAGCTGAAGTATGCCTCATGCATGAGATACTACGTATTGCTTTCAGAATAACAATTCATAAACAATAGCCTAGTATGAAAAATATTAGGCATAATTATTTCTACTTTTACTGTTCACACAAGAGTACATCATGGTGGAATAGAAGTGTCACTAATATACTAACTATATTGTCTCTAGATTTTGCACATAAAACTTAGACTAACAATACAACAGCTAACATACAAGAAACTTTTTTTAGACGTGAGCTATACGATAAAGTCAAGAAGCACCAATTTCAGAATTTTAGGTTGCAAGCACACTGTCACTATGCTACTAGTAGTTGACTAGTAAAAGCAAGATGCTCAGAAGCCCTATTTGTTACCATACTGTTTCATTTCTGCTGGTTTCCATTTGGACAAGTGCAAGCTTCTTTGCAAGTTTTTAGCACTGCAATATTTGTCTTTCAAACTTTACAGGGAAATATTGTTTTAAAAGTTAATTGTCCTTTAGTCCTATAAAAAATTGCTTGCTTAAGCTTATAACAACCGATACTGATATTCTCCCTTGTGAAATGAGATTTATACCCATATCTTCACTTCAGAAGAGAAGCAGTTCAAGTCCAGGACATTTCCGGCAGATTAGCAATTCCTGACACAGTTCCTCTTTGCTACAGATTATTTTTCAGGCTAACCGAGACACTACCAAGTACTGTTTCACTGCATTCATTAGTTCATTCATATGAAAATAGCATTTCCTACCTTGTCACAGCTGGTACCAGCTACTAAACAAGAAACTTCACCTCCAAGACGTTTTGCTGCAGTGATAGTATTTAGTGTAATGGGTGTAAAAGTCTCATTGTTGTGTTCTGCTATGACTAATGTACTCTGAAACCTCCGGAGCAGCAATGCCTTTAAAGAGAGACAGAGAGACAGAGAGAGGAGTTTGATACTTAGCATTTCAGTAAAAAACTGTTCCTAAGAGCATCCAATGCTTTACAGAAACTTATCAATTATACAAACTGTAAAATACCGCTGTCAAACAAAATAGGCTAAATCTAGGTAATTTTTATTAAGTAGGCAGAACACATAAGGTGTTAAAAAAAAAGGTATAAACTTGCTTGACTAGTTTAAACTAAAACCTCCACAGGAAAATACAGGAACAATATTAAGAAAAACATTTTAATACCTTACATTCAAGCTCCGTTGGTCAACTTAAAAGTACCTTAAAGAGTGAAGATTAGACCAGCAAGACTAAGACACAAGGAAATCAAGGCTAGCAAATAAATATTTAGTTCTTGGTTTTTTGGGGTTGTTGGTTTGGGTTTTTTTTTTACTATAGGTTTTAGCCAAAATCTAGCTACAGAACACACTTTTTTAATTAGTTATGTATAAAGGCAAAATTGTATGCAGTGGCAGGATCACAATTAAGCAGCCTGAAAACACACTAACAGAACTATTGATAAGCATCAGGTTCATTTTTTTCTATTTTCCTTTAAAACATTTGACACTTGACCACTTAAGTCTACCACCACAATTTAATGGTTCTTAAATAATAATTTTGACCAATTCACCATCCACACACAGACTTTAACTTCTAAAGCAAAAATGAAAGAAAAGACAGAGGAAAAAAAAGGCAAAGCATTGCCATGAAACCAAACCAAAATATTCTAAGCTCTGAGACTGTCCTCTCTCATTTTCAGGTGAACCCGGAAAAAGCATTATTCGTCAAAGACTAATACCAGGGTAGGGAAAGAGTCTGGCATGGGAACAGGAATATTATCCTTCCAAGTTTTTCTCTATCCCACATAAAGCCTAAATCAAGACTTGAGTTATGATCAATGTAATATGGAACACATGGAAAACAAAATCTATTAATTAATATGACCAAGGCACAAATACTAACACAACACTAAAAACTGCGCAGCCAAATACTACTTTTTTAAACATATATTCTGACCCCACCTCCTCTCATGACAAATCCGCACTTACCCACTACTTAAACTAGAAAAAAAAGCTTCAGAAATTCTGAGAGGCTAAAATTTGGATATGGACTTCAACCACACAGAGCCCACCAACATGCTAAACTTCACACAGAGAAAGCAAATCCCGAGGACTTCCCTGAAGCTAATCACAGTGTAAAAATATATATACAAAGATAAGATTTTGCAGAATCAGGATCATAATTTGTCATTTTGATTAAAACAATAAGGATTCTTGTAGGGGTGCTCTGCATTTAATCTTTTATGCTTAAGGCTACTTGTTCTGATTAAAGATTTTAAGATCGTTTGAAGCCAATTGCCAGTAACAAAATATTTATTGCCAATATAGATCAGACACCATATTTTTGATTATGTTTCATACATCATTTGCAATAAAAGTTATGAGATTTTAGTCAGTGTTTGAAGAATAAATCCATGCTTTTGTGGCAAAAAGCCCACTTTTCCAATGATTTATAGTCGTGTCACAGGGTAAAGTGGACCGTGCTCGTGAAAGATTCTTAAGTTTTCAAATTTCCAAAGGGAGCCACATGCATTTTAAACACACATTTAATTCTGACTATATTATGATCTTTTCCCTAAATAAGTACTGCACCACCACAGAAGCTCTATATCATTCTGTCAAACAATTCTAGAATAAACTGAGAAATTTTTTAGCCAAAAAGAATAAGAGCAATGGATGTTGCTTGAGCAGACTGGATATTACAGCATTAACTAGGTGTTATTTCTAAACTGATAATCCCACATTTTCTATTTGTGGGAACTGCACACCGGAAGGTCACTTTATGCCTACATGCATGACATTTCTGAACACAAAGACAAGACCAGATTTAAAATAAAAGTCATGTTCTACATCTTGGGTAAAAATCCTGGATGACAAGTAAGATTCCTATGTGAATCTGAATTTTAACATACTAACACAACTAAAATATTTTTTTTAATAAACAAAACAAAAACAAACTGACTTTTGTTTGTTATAATAAAGATTCTGCAGTAAAACCAGAGGGTAATTCATCCCGTTACATATGATCCTGAAAAATGAGAATCTGCAATGAGTCAATGAAGAGGACAGGTAGTTATTTTGATGAAGTAACTTGTCCAGCTGCACATGTGCGAGAACAGCCCATTATTTCACTGACATAATTTCTCCATCTGTACTTGGGCAGGAAGTCTAGTTTCAAGCCTAGATAAAATAGGAAGGTTGAGTATAAACCTAACCAGCTGACAGCAAGGATAAAAAAGCACAAGAAATAAGACACACATAACAACCAAACTATTGAAAACAATGCTTTGAGAGGGAGCAGCACTCAGTGCTTGTGCCATAGAAGGTTCCTGGTGAAAACCAAGCTCTTGAAAAATCAGGCTATCCAAAGAAATCAGTCACAGTTAAACATCCTACAAACTTGGACAATCGAGTGGCTTCTCAAGCATACCAGAAGATTATGAACACATCTGCCAGCAACCAGTAGAACTGGAAATTTATTTCACCTAGGTTTAGATATAAATTGAAGCTAGGCACCTATGCTCCCTCTACAGCAAAAACATCTACATTTCCTCTCTGGTGGAAACTCCAGACAGTGATTCAGTTTATACTAAAATAAACATTTATGAAGGAAAACTGTCTGGATTTTCCAACACACACACACACACTCCTGCCTCCCCAGCATTTATGGTAGAGCAAACCTAGCCTCTGACTTCCAGATGTCTAAAAGTTGGTAGATTAACCTAGACATGCAGTATACATCAACTAACCCACTTGCAAAGTGCCAAAGCATTTGCTGAATCTATCATGTTTCCCCAAAGCATCTTTTGTTCCCCACCTGAGAAACCCAGCAATGTTTTCCAAGCAGAATGTGAAAAATTTGAGCATAGTATCTGAATTTCTAGACTACTCACTGCTACTGTCCCAGCCAAGGGTTAGAAATCTGGACACGCCCAGTACAGGTGCACAGATAAACCCACACGAGGCCAACACCCCATACATCCAAAGTACTCATTCATACGCACAGGTGATCTGTTCTTCACAGCAACACCAATGCAAACTGAACGGACGTTGGTCTTTCAGCACATAGACAGGTCACATGAACAGCACACAAGCAGGCCCAGCATTTCTTAAATACAGATTTGCTGCTTATATGATACAAAACATAGGTATTAACACAGCTGGAAAATCCCAGACAAAAGTGTTGTAAATCTTTGCTTGCTGCTTGGCAAAACTGGTGAACACACTGGTATCAATGGCCTCTACAGTCAATAGCTAACTGCCTGCAGCCTGTTCCAAAGACACTCGTTGTAATGCAGCAATTATGAAATCGGGTCTGAAAGACATGTGGCAGACAGGAACAAAAGGTGGGGTGGCCAAAAAGTCTTTCCAGGAAACATAAGAAATGCTCCAGCAGGTGTATTGTACGTGGGCCCATGCTCCAAATATGCATAAGTATGAAACAGGCTGTTAGAAACTTCACCCAGGAAACTGAATTTTGCCTCCCAACCTCTTCAGAGGAACCACTGCAACTTTCAGGAGCTAAACCAAAACAGCAATTCACAAGGAAAAAAGTACCTAACAACTGGACCCACAAAGGTATCTCTACAGCTGATTTTCTTAGCTGTAAAAGCAAAATGGCCAGAAATTAAAATTTTAAAACTCCTTAGTAGGAAGGATGTCTCTCATAGAGATCCATTATCACTGGGCAAAATTCCCAAGACCTGACTTCACGAACTAGGAATTGAGGTATTACTAAAGATAATGGCTACTTTCCTATACAACAAAACAATGCCTAATTCTATTAATGACAGTCTTGTAGCTGCAAAACTTCAAAAGAAACAAAAAACATTTGGGAAGCTCAAGGAGAGGAGGAAGCTCTAGCAAAAAAGCTTATACTTCTCCTAGAACCTCTGTACAGATCTGGCTACAGAAGAGGTCTAAGAGACAGATTTTTAACTCCAGGAAACGCTAACCAGAAAAGCAACACTAAAGGCACTGAAAAGGAGCTATAACTCCAGCAAAGAACAGCAAAAGAAATAAAGAAAACACTTCTAAAAAGTATTTATTTAGGAATCACAATAAAGACTTAAAATTACAAAGGAACTGAAGCAGCAACAGAAAGCTGTAATACAACATAAACTTTTCCAGATATATCCCATGCAAACCACTAATAAAAAAATCAAAGCAACAAAGCTGTTCTGAAATACCGACAACACTACTGAAAGTAAACTCAAGATAAATGAATACATTTTTAAAGTTATTAGACTGAGCTTATCAATGACAACTGAAGGATAGATACAGAGCATTCCCTAAGACTACAAATGTAGCCCAGTACTTCCAGAGTAAGGTGTGTTTCAGGCTATTAAACCCATTTATCTGAATTCTCTCAGGCTAAAAAAAAAACCAACCAAACAAAAAAAAACCAAACCAAAAAGAAACCCAGACATGCATTGTGAGATATATATGACTGAAATAAAATCCACCATTTTCAGAAACATCAGGAAATTGAAAGCTCTGAAATCAACAGGAACTCAAAGACTCAATAACTGTGAATACTGGATCCCCCCAAAACACTGTAAAGATAAAATAAGAGTAGCTGCTCAATATCACTAAAAATTATGCAAGTGACGTTTCACTTTATTCAAAACCTATTATATAGTAAAATACTACACTACAAAGTGAGAAAGAAAACCTGACAGTTAAGACCACTTTCACCTGAAGATCTCCAACAGCTTCATAAGCACATGCCTATTACTTTGTTTAAGCCAACTCTAAAGCATCTCTTGCACTCACTCCCCCCAATACTGCAGAAACAAATGCAACTTTTACTCTATCTGGACCTTTAAAACAACAGCAGAACCCTAAAATATTATACAAAGCAAAACAGTTTTCTTAAGAAACAGAGAGCCACAATGTCCTTCACTCTTTCACGTTGTTGCTGGGGTTTTTTTGAGGGAGTGTGGAGCTAGAAGTGAGGGAGACCAAGAGATTCATCTGTGACTTGAAACAGTCAAGACTAACACTGCTTCCCCTTCATGAATATCCTTAGGATAAATTCTAACTTCAACACAGGTTGAATAACAACTGGATACAAAATTAAAGGCATGGTATTATACCCACCTACAATCAGCTTGGCCCCTGAACTGCTGTGTAATGTCATGTAAGAAGAAAAAAAGAAAAAAAAACCCAACACTGTGAATAGGCAAAAAGGCAGACACTTTCTTATCTGATAAAAATGATAAACAGAGAATGTTAAGGGAATACATTATCTGTTTGTTGATTTATAAAGGTAGGAATGTGTGACCTCAAAACACCCCTTAACTAAGTCCGCAAGACAATCCTGATGATCACAGTTTCCTATCATTACAAGTTTGGTAGGGACTTCAAGAGTTTATAGAAAGCTCTATCCCATCAGATGCTAAGCCACCATATCTCTTATTTCCAACATATCATCTAGCTTATTGTTGATGAAGACTCCTAGGCAAGCTATTCCAAAAACTTAATATCCTTTGAACTAGAAAGGATTTCTTAATGTCCATCTTAACTCTTTGTAGCTATCTTAAATAGCTTTCTTCCAATTTAAGCCAACTCGTATTATTTTATCATCCATGGACTGGTGAAATGGCTTATTCCCACCTCTGCACCAATTTTTTGTGTATTTGCAGTCTCGTATTCCTCCTCAGACCTCCCATCTTTAAGTTATGCAACTCCAACCTTTCCTCGTTGCTCATACTTTACAGGTCTCTCGCATCCTGTTTTTCTCCAGACTTTATTCATTCTTGAACTGCATGAGTGTCAGCAGTGCTGAACTGCAGTTTGCTGTGCCCCTTTTGCAGACTACATTGTTACCCACACACCGAAGATGCTCACAATGTTCTACTGGCTTTATTTCATAAATTTATGAGTTTAGATGCATATGGCTGAAAAACAAGGAGCTGACCGCATGTTTCCAGGACATGACACTGACCTGTGCAGTGATCATGAAAGTATAATTTACATAGCTGTACCTTACGTTCTAGGAGTTGTAGAGATCAAGACCTTTGCTTTGCAAAGCCTACAGCCTAACAATAACTGAAAGACATCAATGATTACAACAGTTATAATTTTTAGATTAACTAAATCATGTACGTCCTGGTCTACCTTTGCTCTTTTTTTAAGCCATTCTTAACACCTGAAACCGATTAATATGTCCATAATTCCTATTTTAGAGCTGTACAGAACTGCAATACCTGTAAAGCCTTGGAGAACTAAAAAAGAAACTTGTGAGATTTAAAGCTCTTTTAGAAGGGCTACTTACACACAGTTCTAGTGGAGGGAATGTCTCGTAGTGCATGCTACGAGATCAAACAGATATTCAGGGACATTTCATGAATCATCTACTCCATTAACCTTGAGCTCACCTAGTCGTTAAATTTGGTAACATAGCCACCATGACACATCAAGCAGCAAATGGCCTCCAAAAGCCCAGCAGTCCTCCCAGCTGCACAATATGAAGGTCAATATGGAAAAGCAACAAGTGTTTCACATTAGCTTTGTCTGCAGGTTGTGACAGTTAAAGCAATCACAGTTCTGCACAGCTGTGTTCGTGTGATTGAGAAACACTGTATTAACCTCTCAAAACCCCAGAGAGCCCCTCCTTGAGCCACGTACGTCTTTCTAACGTTGTCAGAGTTTGCAATAACCAACTGCAAGAGTCTCTTCAGCCGTAAGGAAAGCACCCCCGTTCCTCACCCAGTCCTGTACGAGGGCGGATGAGAGCGAGCACTCCGAAAAATTTAAGACCTCCCTTACGGCTAAACTAACTCTTTTCAG